AAAGGGAAGGAGCAGTCCTGGCGAGAAGCAAGAGGGCCGAGTCTGGAACACCACCACTGGAAAAACTCCCACTACCACTGGGGATGATCAACAACGGCAGCAGATACTGAAGATGCTGGAAGCGTTGCGCCAAACCGGCGTTGCCAACTGCCACAAACAAATGCCCATTGGAAGGAAAGAAAAGAAGGTGAAGACGAGGCCAGGTGAGGAGGAGAAGAACAAGAAGAAGGACCAGCAGTGGGGTGACCAGTGGAAGGCAGGCAAGAGACAGTAAGATCAAAGATGATGAGCTGCTTTTCATCCTTTCCGACAATAAAAAAAAGAAAGTTGGCGGTTTGTAAGCAAAATGGTCATTGCACGTGCAGCCAGATGACGCTCTGCTCTCAGGTTGGCGCTGGCTTTGCAGAGCAGCTGACTGATGTACGCGATCTAATGAATCAAAACACAACACAGACACGGCTTCTGGCAGCTATCAAAACACCGATGTCATCAGCCGCCACCGCCACCGCCGCCGCCGTTGATGCGTCTCTGTCCACTCTTTCTCTCACTCAATCTCTGTCTCTGTCTGTCGCTCTTCTCATGTGATGATAGTCTTTGTTACCCAATGTTTGTCAATTGGAGTACTCGCTACCTTACCACTCGTGCAATACTACAACTGTCGGCGGACTGCAATTGATTGTCGGTGAAGTTGTTACCTTTGGTACGACGACGACGATGAGGAGGAGGAGGAGGAGGACGATAAGGAAAAAGTACTGCTGCTGCTGCCGCTCGATACCGTGGTGATCATTGTGCGCGGCGCGGTGGTGGCCTGGTTGCTTTCACTCCAAAACAACACCACCACCATCAACAACAGAACGAAAGCCATCAGCTGCCCATCTACCAAAGGCGACAGAAGCAACAGCATCAGCAGACGCAATGGCCCATTTGCAGCACTGATCAAGGCTCCAGTGCGCGGACACTTTACTTTAGTCAGCTGCAGCTGCGGAACAGCAACACCATCATCATCAGCAGCATTGCCGTTTATCCGCCTGCCTGCTTCAAAACCTTTCCACCCCTATCGCAATAAACCCGGTATCGAAGCACTTCATCTTCGATCTCACTCTTTTACTCTCTGTCATCTCCTTGGCCGTCGTCGCGCTTGTTGATCATCATCATCACCACCGTACAACTAACATTGTTAGTATTCCATTTCGTACGCTGTACATTTTTGAAGGTAATCAATCAGCATCAGCTGTAGTGCTTTCTGCACCTTTGAGCCCGTTGGCTCTCTCTCTCTCTCTCTGTAAGCCTCATTTATTTAAATCTCCCTCTAATCGCGCGTAAGATTGCTCAACTTTAAGTTTCTTTGTATTTTTTTNGTTAGTATTACATTTCGTACGCTGTACATTTTTGAAGGTAATCAATCAGCATCAGCTGTAGTGCTTTCTGCACCTTTGAGCCCGTTGGCTCTCTCTGTAAGCCTCATTTATTTAAATCTCCCTCTAATCGCGCGTAAGATTGCTCAACTTTAAGTTTCTTTGTATTTTTTTTGCAGTCATATTGGCGCCTTTGCAGCGGCTACCCAACCAAAGTAGTAGGCGATGCATACAGCTGCTGAACCGCTGAAAATGACAGCGATTCTGAATCAATCACTGTCTTCTCCCTTTGCCTTTTGACTGTTGTTTGTCTTCTCTGTTGACAACCAGCACATCATTTCTTTGAAAACACTATTACTCCAAAACTATTTATTGCCACTTTCAGTCTCTTCCTCTTCTTTTCTTGAATTCAATCACATCCGCCAAAATAATATCGCCAAACGCACCAGTCTACCTCCCCTATTTTAATCGCCGCCATTTCTATTTTTCACGATTACATTCCGTTCCCCGTTTTGATTACGAATCATCTTCTTCACCATAGTCTTGCTTCACACTAACTAAAGAAACTCGGTGCAATATCGTCTACAGTCATATTTGTTTTCACACTGCACATCATCACCCATCCACACATCACTACCATCACGCTGTGATATGGACAACGAACACAGAAACGCCCATCATTTGTCTCTGCCGCAGAGGCTGGCCTTCTCCGTAGGCCATGTTTTTAACGATCTATGCGCCGGATTCTGGTACGTTTTAGTTAAAAAAGGAGATAAAGGAACAAAAGGACAACAGTACTCATCACTCTTATCCCCCCTTTTTATTGTAGGTTCACCTACCTGTTGATCTTTATGAAGCTGGTCAATGGCTTCGAAAGCAGCACCGCCGGCACGTTGATGCTGGTAGGACAGGTGGCCGACGGCATCGCCACGCCTTTCATCGGCATCGAGTGCGACCGGAGTTTTGACTGGTGGTTCTGCCGGTACGGTCGCCGCAAGACCTGGCACCTGGTGGGCACCCTGTGCGTCCTGCTCAGCTTTCCCTTCATCTTTCACCTGTGCATCTACTGCGACAACTCGCCGCAGACCTCGCAGATGGTCTACTACTCTGCCTTCATCATGTGCGTACACTTACTTGATTTGTAGTTTGGTAGTTTGGCAGTTTAACTTGTCATTCTTTCTCTCACCACCTTCTCCACCACCACAGAATCTTCCAGTTTGGCTGGGCGGCCGTGCAGATCTCCCACTTGTCGCTCATTCCCGACCTGACGCCGGTGTCCTCGGAGCGCGTGGAGCTGAACGCCTGGCGCTACGCCTGCACCGTCTTCGCCAACATCACCGTATTCATCCTCATGTTCATCACCCTGGGCATGGACAACAGCAGCGGCGACGCGATCACCCGCCGGGACGCCGTCGCCTTTGAGGAGGTCGCCTTTCTCATTCTCGGCATCGGCCTTGTCTTCTCCACCATCTTCCACATTGGGGTCAGGGAGCGACCGGCGCCCGGCTCTCTGGGCGCCTCTGCCTCTGCCGATTCTTCCGACGGCAGCGGCAGCTCCTCCAGTGCCGACCTGGTCAAGCAGCAGGCGAGGCCCATGGTCTGGAGCAACTGGTTTCGGGAGGCGCAGTTCTACAAGGTGGGCCTCCTCTACATGGGCACCCGACTCACCATCAACCTTACCATGGTCTACATTCCCAACTACCTGGTCGAGTCGCTTCATCTGCAGAAGGTATGTGTGTGTGTTTGGAGTTTATTTCTGTTTCTTCAGCTCACTTTTATTATCATCTCTTATACAGAAATCTGTCGCCTACATTCCACTTGTCATTTACATTAGTGGCTTTATCAGTTCGTTTCTGATGAAGTTCATCAACGTCAGACTGGGCAAACGAGTAAGTGCTGTTTGCAAATTTTTGTTTTATCGTCATTTTCAACTCGAATTTTTGCCCTTCCTTCTTTAAGCTCACATATCTAATTGGCGCCTGTTTGACTTTGGGCGCCTGTGCCTGGATTTTCTTTGGAACTCACAATGAACTCTTTAAGAAGTACGGCATCTTTGGTGTGTCTGTCGTCATCGGCATGTCCAGCACCACCATTCTAATCACCAGTTTGGCCATCACCAATGATCTGATCGGCTCTAATACGGTCAGTCTCTTTCTATCAATCTCATATCACTCACAGATTTTTTACAATCTTTAAACCTTTCTCTCTCAACAGGACAGCGGTGCCTTTGTCTTTGGTGCAATGAGCTTTGTGGACAAGATATCCAACGGCGTCTCTGTGATGGTTATTGAAAACTTGAAATCTAGCATTGCAAATCAGGAAAACTACTACCGCGATGTGCTCACCTTTGTCTGCGGCGGGGCAATATCGCTCTCACTCATTGCCCTTGCGCTGCTCACCAAAGGCAAAATTGGCAACTTGAAACGCAATGGTGACTGAACCGTTTTATCTCTTTGTATAATATATTTTTCTTCACTTCTAAATTTTATTTATTTTTAATAATTACACTTTCAAAACGTAGTGCCGTATATAGTGCTTAAAGATTTGCGCTTTTAACAATTTTTTTGCCTATTACCTATTACTCATTGCATGGGGAGTTTCTTGTTCTTGTTGATTGGGTTTGATCGGTTGATTGCATGTTTACTACTATTAATATCATTATCCCCCTTTCACTAGTTTAATATAATTAATCTAATCTAATCTTATCTTAACTAATGTACTAAACTAGTCATAGTTGTCAATGGCAGGTGATGTTTGGGCCGCTTTACTAATGCTCTTTTGATTTTTTGATTTTCACACAGCTTTTCGACAGATTTCATCTGCCGATGGACTGCCAGACGATTGTCCGTCAATATCGTCGCCACTGCTCAACAACACTCATGATGATTAGTCAGCTTTATAAATGTTTTTATAGGATGTTTTTTACTTTGTGATATATATTTTTGTACCCAAACACATTTTTGTTGATTTTTACAATACATTTTTCTCCCTAGTGCACTTTCAAACTTTTGCAGACTTGATCGTTGGCCAGAAATGCAAATTGTAAAATTGTTTTCCCAACTGGCCAGCTTGTCAATACACACACACACACCACAGTCAAAGTCAATTGTTCGGTTCATTTGTAATGCTGACTACACAACTGTAGTTGAAACACAACTGAAACCTTTTGGCACTTCTGTTTGATGATGAGGCAGTGGAAAGAGAAAGAAAGACGATGAACAGTGAGCAATAAATAACGGCAGCGACTGAGCACAATAAAGGTCGGCATAAATTTAAATTTGTCAAAACAGCGATTAGACTGACTGACTGACTGCGGCTATTCAATTTGCCCTAATGACGAACAATGGAACGTAGTACAACAGAGCTCCAGTGTCGATTTACTGACTGTCTGTTTGGCCTGTTGTGCAATACCTGCTTCGTCTGATGGTCAGTGCGAGTTTTGCCTTTGAAGTTGGCCTCTGTTTGCCGCCGCCGCCAAACATGCAAACAAGTGCTCACTGATCGACTGACTCAAGGGCAGACTAGGCCTGCTAGTTTGCATAACATACATGCACACAGGACACACTCCCCCTCAATTGGCCAGGAAGGTGATCAGTGATTGGCTGCGGTGGTGTGATGGCTGTTGCTGCTGATGCCCTGAGGCGACCAGGACGCTCTGTGGAACCGTGGCAAAGATTGGTGAGGCATGCTGCTGAACAGGCCAACTTGAACTCGGCTCAGTGACAAGAGGAGGGCAGATGTCCTTGCCTCACTCGTTGGCCGCAGAGCAAATCGAGGACGTGGTGGTTGGAACTGACGATGCTGATCTGATGCAGCATTTGTATTTTGTCCTTGCGACCCTAACGAATGGTGCACCTCTGTTCCGACAGCCGAACGTTCTGAGCAGCACATATTCCTCCACCAGAGAGATATCTCCGAGTGAGTGTAAGCACTGAAGATTCACCGAACGGTGCAGTCGGCGTGACGTAGGCCACCATTTCATAATTCATTACGATGCCATTATTGGCATTATTAATAGTTGTTTCCCCAGAGTGACAGCAATGAGAGCGGGCAAGCACTGACTGGCTGACTGACTGAATTGGCGGTGGACAAAAGCGGGGCGCGTAGTTGTTGCTAGCAATACTATTGCACTAGAGCAGTGGGCCCGAGCAGAGGCAGGCAGGCAGACAGGCAGGCGAACCGTGCCGAATTGAAGATACTGAATAAACCTCGATAACACTCGAGGCAGCACAAAGAGAAGGCCATCTCAAATGTCCGATTTGCAAGTGGTAACCTTTACCAGGGCAATGATGATCATCGCCTTGCCTATTAGTCATGGCACTTTTATTGTTGGCTGCTGATTTATTAATGCAAATAAAAAGAGAAAGAGGGCAAGTACATTGGCGCAATGTACTTCTGCCTAATGTTGGATCTAGTTCGGTTTCCTCCACTTTTGCCACTCTTTTCACCATTGCAGCAGCAGCTACCGCTTCTTTGTGTTCCCAAGCCCATGTGTTGGCAACACTTCCACCAAACATGTTCCACCAAACCCATTATGTACCCACACCAATCAGTGGGCTATCCAGCCATTTCTCTGCCACTAACAAACTCGCCAAAAAAAGTGATATGAACCAAAATTGATATGCACTAGAATTTGCACTGTTTGCACATTTGTGGACGGAAGCACAGAAGTGGCACGTCATTTTCACAGCAGAAATATGTTCTTTGTACAAATGCAATTGGTGTAAGTGAGTGGTCGCTCGGTATTGTGTGTTCACTTTTCACTTTTTGCGTAAATGGCCATTTCTAATTACCACTACTACTACCACTGCTGTTAATTGAATTCAAGAGGCTCAACACTGACTTTTTTTGAGGAACATCTTCTGTTGATTAATTGGACAATCTGAAGATTTTTTGTACTTCTACTGACCAGTTGTGTTTGTTAGTGTTTGTGAGTGTGTGTGTGTTTTAACTCGATTACTCAGTACGTCAGATTAACGCCTCGATGACCGCCTCTTTCGCGCCTGACTTTTGGCGGCCTGCTCCGGTCTTTGCTCCTTTGCTGAGCATTTAGCACCTGTGCTCTGTTCTTTATCAGCCGACCAGTATCTGACGCGGCACATCTTTCTTTTTCCTTTTCTCTTTCTCACTTTCTGACGACGGGGGTTCTCTGCAACAGTCGCTCAAGCACAAGCGGCACCAGATGAGAGAGAGGTAAAAGAAAGCAAGCACCACAACGTGCAAACAAATGGCTTTCCTGAAGTGGCATTGTGAACATTGCAAAGCAAAGGAAAAAGCAAAGACCACTTGCACCAGAAAATGGAGCACTAAAATTCAGTGCAAGTGCAAAGTCAATAGTGGCGCAATTCATTACTGGCAGCCAATCTATCTACTTAATTTGATATATTTCACGGTTTCTTCTACTTCTTTCTGAACGGTGTTCAACCTTGTTCTTTTCAGTGTTTTTTTGTGCCGTCGCACTCTCTGCTTGTTTGCTTGGCAACCGCTGCACTTCGCTTCACTTCAAATAAATTCAAAGGCAAAGGAAATGACGGAAGGTTAATTAATTAAACTTTGTTCCTGCTTGCTTCTGAATTTATTTGTGTTAAGCACAACTGGTGGTTGCCATTTTAAAGTGCCTCTTTACACATGCTTTCTGTTTGCTGATCTTGAACTTGGAGCAAAACGGCAGCAGCAGCAGCAACTTTAGCAATAGCAAATTGCGCACAATTGACTGCAACCATTTCCATTTCCATTAATCGCCATCACATTAGGCCAATTTTTATCGGCTCGTGTTGTTTTTCTGCTCTGCACACCTGAGCAGATAAAAAGCACCGTCTTTGTCAGCTGCTCACACTATGTCTCCTCTCTTCCCGGTATGATTTATTAGCCAATTTCACCGTATGTGTGCTAATTAATTTGCCACAAACCAGTCTACCTGGGCCTGAATTTAACTGCAGTTGCACTTCTGTTCTACTGCTGCTGCCCACTTTTGGGCCAAGTGGAAACACGTTTTTTCAAACTGTTTGTTTGTTTGCTCCTGTTGGTTTTTCTTTCTTTGTGTGCAGAATCGAAAGTCAACCTCATGTGCTCTTTCTTTCTGTCAGGTCAAGTCTATTATTAAATAGCCGTTCAGAGAGAAAGGCCAAGCTGAAGGATTACAGTCTCGGAGCAGTGCTCAAAAAGGGGGCTCCATTACCTGGCTGACACTTTTGAAGGGTAACACCATTCTGCTGGCTGGCTCGCTTTAATTTACACCCCATGCAAGTGTATCACGCTAATAATGTGCAACTCGCCTAGTTTTTCTTTGTATAAATTTTATTTGTCTTACACACACACTGACTGTGGCTTTTCAGTAAACTCATTGTCAGTTTGTGTGATTTCCCCCTTTTTTGCCAGGCAAAAAGGATCGTGCGCGCGGCAAAAGGAACCCTACTGCGATCTGCAAACAAGCGACCCATAAAACAGAAAGCAGCTCCCTTTTGCTCTCTCTCTCTCT